ATCGGTCCCCAGCCTGTGGCTGGAGAGGAGTGGCGCTTTCCCATTTCAAAGCACCTCTTTTCTCTGGCCTCCTGTGCAGCTGCCCAGTGTTCCTCAGAAGCCTTCCAGCCTGTGTTTGCACTGCTTGCTGCCTCCTGACAGTTCTCCTGAGGCTGCAGCCTGCAGGTGGGCCTTCCTGCTCTTCTGATTGTCCCTCCCAACCCTCTCTGCAGAGGCACTGCCCCCCACCGTGTGGGGGCTTGTCAGATCCAGTGTTGGACTGCCTGGCCCAGGGGGCCTCTATGTCTTTGGGGTGTTTCATTGTAAATCCCCCTCTGCTTACTCTGAAATGACTGACTTTTTGCTTCAAAATTAACTTAATGCCTGGAATGAGGAAAGAAAGACTATTTCAAACTGCAGCCAAATCATTTGGATTAGTCTTAGATCACCACAAACAAGAAAACAAGAATTACAAGAATTCCAGTGTATGACTGGTAGACAACACATGGTTTTATTTTTTTGAAAGATGGGGAGATTATGAGGGGATGGCAGTGAAATAATAGAATATGCCACTCTCAGCCTACAGCAATTTAAGGATGACATTATCAAAGAAGCCTAAGAGAACCCTATAATTCATTTTTAAATCTTATTTTGAAGTGTCATGTTTATTCCCAAACTTTTACTTACCTGTTAATTGTTCTAGTAAAGATTTAAAATTATTCCCTATCCTCTCTTGGAGTTCTGTTGAATCTTCTGAAATAAAAAAAAAGATTACAAATAAATCTTTTCTAAATGATTTTTGTGCTTAAAAATACAAACACAATTTAAAAAAAACCCAAAAATATGCTCTGTGCGGAATGCTTCACGCATGTCTAACTGGTACATTCTTATTGTAAGAAAATACAAGAAGACTTAAGATCATGCACACAAATTAAATGAAACTGTGATTTTCTTCATAACCTAAGATGTCATTCCAAAAAAATCTACACGTTTGGTTTATAAGTGTGTTTCCAACTCATTAATAGCATGTATTAGCTTAATGCAAAACCATTTTGAAATTCTATGGATACTTCCACTCCATGCAACACACCATACAAATTGGCTTCACGTTCCCGCAACCCAAACACTTACCTAAGCCATTGGTATCTAGTTCATAAATATCACTAACAAGATAAAACAAGCTAGTCTGGCACTGACAGCTGCCATTACTGAAGAAGCCAGCCATTCGGGTCGGAGGAGGGCCAAGGACAGGATACTAGGCAAGAAATGGGGGGAAAAAAAAAGATGTTGCAGCTTTTCCTTAAGACAAGTGTTGGTCTTTGACACATCTGAGAATTCACACACTGCAAATTCAGGCATAGTTAAGTGAATTTTGCAGCACTTACAAGTTGCACAGTATTTCAGTGTTTGCATTCATAGTCATTAAAGGTTCTGGGATCACTTTTCCTTAATAGATACCTGAATATTCTGCTCAAGAAACCGCTTCCCTGAATCCACTGCCACTTCCAGTTGTTGAAGCAGAGACCGTATTGTATCAATTTTGGATAAGACACCATTCTCAGCAGTCTTTTCAGAGTTTTTTGGATGAACAGTATGACTAAGAGTTGGGAGTCCGCTTACTAATCTTAAAGTTAAAGATCGGATTTGCAACCAGATGGTTTCTTCCTCCAACGACAGTTTCCTATGCTCCTCAGAAATGTCCCTAGAGAAAGGCACCAACCATTTTTAGACAAATGTTTTGTAACAGTAGCAAGCTTCCATGAACATCCTTTATCCTACTCTGGTGCAGTTTTTGAATCACATGAGAGGTGAGAATGAACAGAAGTTCAGGCAAAAGTATTAATGTGAATAAGCACAATAAAACATTAGAAACTGTGAATGATGCTCTTGTTAAATGTGCACAATTAGCCAGCCTAGAAAATATTTAAGAAATACTGACCCCTGCAGTTCTGGGCTGTTACACTCACCTGTCTTTTGGATCCCAATTAAATAAAACCGTTAGGTCTCTGTTGTCATGCAAATCTTTCCAAGGAATATCATCCTCCTCTGGACGCAGACTCATGGACTTTATACTTTCTTCTAAACTGGTTGATCTAGCACATAAATATTAGTATCATTAAACCAAATGCGTAATAGTTGAAGTGAAAGCCCAACCAGGTGATATAGTTTATATTCTCCACCAAGCATGTAATTTTACTACCATCTACGTAAGACAAATCTATCTACTTGTGTTGAAGAGCCAATGCGAGTGGGGACAGAAACAAGCAACTGACATGCATTAACTGGAGTTTGTACTCAAGGTATATTGGAGCAATTAGAAGAACTGGATAAATAATTCATTATAATAAATGAGGCTATGTTGTACTTCAATACCATATTCCCACAGAACACCTCAAACGTTAAACTTCTGAACATCCTTCTGAAGCACTCTAATAGAGTAACACATTTTACAGATGGGGAAACTAAGGACTTGTCTCCACTTACAATACTATTGCAGCATAGCCAGGGCAATCCATCTCCCTAGTTTAATGGAAGTCTCCTTCTGTCGACCCAGCCCAGTCTGTGCAGGGACTTAGGTTGGCTTACCTATGCTGCTCAAGGGTGTAGACTATTTACACACCTGAGTGACAAAGTCAAGTCAACTTAATTTTCTAGTGTAGTCCAGACCTAAGGCTGATACGGAAGCAATTCTAATTACTTCTTCTAGGTAGGAAAGAAGCCTTTTTAACAGGAAAGGCTGTCCTCCCCTTGCAGAATCCCTGTCTGGTTTACTGTTAGAGTTACTTACTCTTGTTTCCACCATACTTACATATTTGCTTCAAGTAAGAGGTCTAACAACATCCGTTCAGTGCGGACTTGTGCAAAGTGAAGCGAGGAGTTCAGCCTATTCCTAAAAGCAATGAATTCTGGGATCTTCTCAAATGCCCCGTACTTGTAGGCTTGAATAATATATTCTGAGGTCTAGGAAAGAACACACATTAATCTGTGTATTAGTTGCCATGATAAAGTAAAAAAAAACTTGAGTCTTAACAGGGTTATATCCAATGAATGAAATTTGTGATTGCCATGAATCTGGAGGTGTAGAATCTAGCAAGCATTTATCACCTGGGAGAAAGATGTAGTTCTGCACATAGATAGTGGAGTAAGCTTTGCTTCTTTAACAAAAGCAGACTGTACCCTGGGATAGTGTGTCTAGCAAGCCACCAATTTCTTTTATTAAATAAATGAGCCAATATAAAGAAACATCAAGTTGATGCCACTCCTAATATTGAAAGATAGCTTTTTCTGAATGGGAAGCTTCTTCTTTTTCTTTATATCTGGTTATATATGTTACAGAAATTGGGGGCATCTCGAATAAAATGCAACCATTTCATTTGAGAAAATCCATTTATAACTAAAATAAATCTATCCCAGATTTTCCTTCATCTGACTTGAACATGTGCCATTATGTGTTATTTTCTCATGGGTTTAAAAAATTACTCATGCTACACTTTTGCTTCTCATTTTTATTAGATTTTGAATACAACATCACAGGATAACATCATGCGGCGTGTACACATTACATCTCAATACAATCTAAATCCCAAAGGAAACTTCAGAATCCATGCAACAATATGCATCCCCTCTCCAACAGAATGCAACAATATAAACTTTAATCCAATGTTTCAGGCCCTTCCAAGTGTTCCTCATGAAGAGATCAATATAAGTAGGGAGCCCAATTCGAGCACTTATTTTGATGTAACTATCAATATTAAAACATAGAAAGGAATTCATGCACCAAGACAACATAGATACTTTACCAGAATTACTCTATCAATGAGAAATTCTGGAAAATCAGAACAAACCCCACAAATGATAGATTATGGGATGAACTCACATCTGACATACACCAGATCATGTCACCGGTGTGTGTTTAGAATATATCAATTGATTCAACCTGGTCTGAAGGGTTTGAGAGACTAGAACCTTGTACTTAACACAGTCAAATGTCACCGTATGTTGCCAAAAACAGGGAATGTCCGTTTAGCCAGTTTTCTTTTTACCAAGCAATTTGGTTATTTGCAGAATATGAAAAATATGCCAATATTCAACAACATACCCTGATAACCAGCCTTGCAGAATTCATTTCAGGCCGCGGGATTGCGCCCTGGGCGCTAATTCAACTGCATCGACGCGGCTTTTAAATCCCCAGGGGACACCACGGTGCTCTGTTTGCCTGCAGTATCTGGAGAAATTAAAGACGGACGGACACAAGAAAATTAAAGAGATTACTTGTGATTCTGCAGTTTTAAAGAAGGACTCTCTTGAAAAGGATGAAGTTGCCTTTTTAGTTTTGGCTAAGTACAGTAAATGCTGCCTTTTTTCCTCCTGTCTGCCCTTTGTGTTCTCTCTCAAAACAGGAATATTCAAGATTGTTGATAGTGGATGTCCTACTGGATTCGGTGATGTCTGTCACCTTGTGAGGTATTTAATTCACTATGTCATGGGGCATAAATTCAGCAAGCATGCTGAAAAATGCATTAGTTTAAGATGATCTGTTCTGTTCACTAAAAACAACTGCACTTTCATGTGAGACCTCTCAATTTAAGCTCCAAATATATTGTTTCAGCAAAGTCCCATGAAAAGAATACTACAAGGCATGTTTATGGGTTTCCATATATAGACTGTATTTGGAACACACACATTTTGGTGAAATTTCAAGTGGTTTAAGAAGCTAAGAGCAAAGAACAAGGAGCAGGCAGTATTCTGGCCAAAAAGGTAACTTTTAAAGAACAGTCCTCCTTTAACATTGCAGTTAGATGATGTTGTGGGACTAGAAGGGGATCCAGGAATCTGACGTCAGAACTGTTAGTAAGATGAAGAGGCAACCCCCTAACTGAATAGCAGGAGGGAATGAAAACTGCAGGCAGATTTTGAACTCATGACATTTGAGGCATGACCTCTATGAGAAGCCCTATTTGACATGAAATTGTCCTATTCAAACAAAACTCAGGAAATGAATCTTTGTCACTTGCAATTTGCAGAACAGACAGGATTTAAAGATAAATACAACAGGCATGCTGGTAATTCTTATAGTAGTGTAGTTTCCATTAAACAAACCTAAAACTGGTGACTACTTGAAACCGTTCAGCTCAGATGATAAAGTAAATCCATGCTTGTCTTGTGGAAATCAAGGACAGTATTAGTGATCTGTCTTGTTTGGAATGCAGTATATCCATGAGAAGAAAAAAAAAGACATTTTAGGTCTTCAAAACTGTCTCTTCAAACTAATGGTAGGAAGAAGTTGATAATCCAAATGCATCTTTTTCCACTTTGATTCAAATCCTTTGAGATGAGATACCTGGATTAGTCTGTTGGTTTGCTAAGAAGTATTCCACAAATTCTGAAAACTGAACTGACACCAGACTCTGGGTAGCATTCCCCATGCCAAGAGTGTCCCAACATCACATGGAATGCAGACAGATGTGTGTGGATACGTGCACTGAGATACTGAAAAGGGCAACTGGGTCTTCTCCATCCAACATATTTTTTTAATTCAAACCAACAAGAATAACCTTATCCTAAGCTGGTGGCCAGAGGCAACAAAGCAGCTAGATGCTAGTTGAATCTGAGCTGTTTTCCAGATCAATATGGATTTCTTGAACTTTTCAGTCTACAGTGTTCCCAGTCAAGAGAATTATGTCCAAAGTGTTTCCTCCAAATCTTCATTTTCCCATTTTATGTTGCTGTCAAAGTCATCTTTGTCCTGAATTGTAGTCTCTTCCTCTGACATCCACTGAATTACTTAGAAACAGATCAAACATAGCTTTAAAAAAAAAGCACGTGTCCCTTTGCAAAAGAAGCGGCATTACGTTGAAAAATCCAAGACTCATCTATCAAAATAATTAGGGTTTTCATCCAGAATTGTTTCTTTGTAATGGGAGTACAACCATCACACAGTATCAAAGACCTTGGTAAGTAAGTTCAGTAGAGTAAAACCAAAAACCAGGCAAGTAAGAGAAAGCTTGCCAAAATGTCATCTATCCAGCACATCTCCCACACACGTGACATTTCCAAGCCGCCACTTCCACATGTCAATTGCAGCCACATTTTGCCACTAAAATCACCACCTCCATTTCCACCCTTAGAAGATAGTTAAAGCATTACAAAGACCCTACATATTGAAAGAACTTAGCTACTGACAAACTAAGGAGATTCTTCTATCTGACTGTACTGTTTATATCATATGCACATTTCTACACATGATAGGTAACCCTTACTTTGTTATTTGATGTTAGAAGAACAAAGTGAGCAAACTTCCCACTGGGAGCCAAAAAATTTCTAAATTCTAATCCCAGCTCAGCCAATGACTCAGAGGCTATGTCTACACTGCCAGCTTTTGCCAGCAGAGTATGCTAATGAAACGCTCATTAGCAACTTCTTGCACTTCATTTGCATAAACTCTGCCTGGGGCTTTTTGTGCAAGATATTTTTGCACAAAAACTAGCAGTATAGATGGGTCAGTTTCACACAGAAAAACCCTTTTGCGCAAGATCTGTATACCTCCCTTTTTGAGGCATAAGGATCTTGTGCAAAAAGGGTGTAGACAGAGTGTAGTCAAGTCAGCTATTCTGCAACTCAGTTCTCTCACATCAGTAAAATGGAGATAATTCTCTATTACGTACCTCTCAGGGATGTTGTGAGGATCAACATTTGTAAAACATTACTGTGTAAGTGCTAAATCTTAAAATTCATTCTCTGGTATGAAGTGTACCTCCTGAATCCATCACGGGGAGTATATACAATCATGTAACGATTGTTCTAGATTACAGCACTTTCTTCTATTCTTAATGGTCTAATAAATACTCACCCCAATGCTAAAGAAATGAATGTAAAATTCAGTACTTCTCTATCTAGTTAGGATTTTATTAAAACATGACAATGCTGTTGTGGAATAACAAAGACATTTTTCCTATGGCTACACCAAGATTCTTCCAGGAAATGCATTGAACAAATAAGAGTGTTATGACAATAATAATTAAAAAGTGTGAAGAGTCACAAACAAGCAACTGAATTTCTCTGGAGGCTTAGCCACGAGCATGAGCATTTTAAGTAGTATCAAATGCTCTTCAGGAAGTTCAGCTGCTCTTTCATCAGCCTCACCCAAAGAATCCCATCCTTGAAGTGAGGCTCCTCTTTATATCAGGAGGACTTTCCTGCAAGTCACATCACTTTTCCTTCTGTTGGTCTGGTGGTGGCAGTTGAAATGAATTTTCATTAGCACTGCAGAATCCCAAATCCTCATCTTGAGGTATTGCAGCTAATTTTTAGTTCTGCTTTGCTTTAATGAAGCCACAGCTTTTGATAAAGCTATTCTAAATTTTCCTCTCTTCATACCTTGACTTTATGCCCAACAGCACAATTATAACAATCTGTAGTATTGAGAGTAGTCATTTAACCAGAGCATTGTGAGACTTCAAGACCACCTGTTCATGCCATCAGGATCTTCATGTGGCATCCTGTGCTGCCATGTAACTATGAATTTATACCAAAATGGACTAGTCACTTACCATTTTAATTTTTCAGTTATAGTAATATAGAAATCACTATTCTTTAGCTATTCATTCTAAAATGACTATATCAGCATGGCTGAAATATATTTAGAATATATTGGCTTTTAGCAAATGAAAGGTCAAAAGCAGAATGCCAGCAAGCAATGAAGATTTGTGGTGGAATTTTAAGCCGTTCTGAACAGAAAACAAAAAGCTGTGGCAAACCTTTACCATTGCCACAAGCTGCTATGTGATGGATCTGATGTTTCTACTGTGATCTACCCACAGCAAATCCTGTATAAGTCTTTCTATAGGCTCTCTATACGCTCTCTTCGAAGTAACTTGGACACAACCGCTTAGTTAGGAGGAGTCAAGAGAGAACTAAATGTTACTTACATCTTTCTGGTTGGAGTGGAAAAACCTGAGTGCAAAATTACAGGATTGGGATGCAGCAGCATATTGACCCAGGGACTCTGCATAGCGTGTCAGAAGGTATCTGGAATGCAACACAGTAAATTGAATTATACACTGTGACAATGCACTGAAAAGATAAATTTCCTTAAGGGACTCCACTGAGCAGAGAACCATAGCATAACTTCTGCCTTCATAAACAATTTTCAAAGTAGACCAGACTGATGTTTTCCATAGCATAGTCTTGAGATTGCATGACCAATTCTGTATGTCAGCACTATGCTCTGTCTCCATATCAAGCATATAAATTCAAAAGGCATTTTCCACAAAGGAAAACAATAAGCAGATCCCCTTCATTTAGTGGTACCAACCTTTAAAAGTAGCCAATATAGAAATGGTCGAACTAGAAATGGATTAAAAGACACTATGGTGGAGGTGAAAAAAGATTTGAGGTCTGTGTTTTGTGTGTAATACTAACATTACAGAAGCAGCTTTCGTCCCACATACTATTTTGATAAAGCCTCACAGACACATGGCTACCTCTGGGACAGACTGCAGCACTTAAGTAATAAATAATGCTGCAAAACCATAGGAACATTAGGTGAAATCTGAGACAAGGGCATCAGCATAAATCCCTCGCCTTATTAAAAACTCTACAGCATCTTCACTGTGAGCCTTTTCATAACATATGACTGGTCTGTAATTCTAAAGGGAACTGAAAATAGAATATTTAAAAATAAGTGTGACCACTTATCCTGAATATATACTACTCACCCAATGGTGTCGTGCTGTATGTGCTTAGCATCAAGGCTGGAATAAAGCTCCACAACAGGTTCAAATGCACCAAGCTTGCAGTAAATTCGAATGAGCAGCAATTTGAACTGAGCATTACAAGGACTGTGGGTTAATCCTTCTTCTAATAAAGTCAAGGACTGCCACACGGCCATCTCTTCACCTGGTGATGAGGAGACAAGCATACACAAGCGTTAGGGGTGAACAGCGTATTTAATAAAAAGCAAGGTTTAAAAGTGGCACAACGTACTGGGTTGAAAAACTTCTCTTATTCTTCAGACATACTTCCTATGCTGCCTATATGTTTCTCTCCTCACTCAAAGCTACTTTAAAATATATGAATGCCTAAATGAATTGTATTTTGCTCAGCACCAAAAATAAGGCATGTGGGCACCTCAAATATAGATAATTACAATTTAACCTTGATGCAAAAGGACTCTTTTCATGCTTGTTAACTGGTTAGAAGGAGCTAGTGCCTGGATTTCCACTGGGAACATTCTGCTACCATCTACCACAGAGTGCAAATGTCACACACCAGCAGCATATGACAGTAAAAGGATGATGCTCTGGTAAATGATCACACTGGATTTATAGACTGCAAAAATATCAGATTAAGGGGGCATTTGAGTATCATGGGACAGAGTCTAGCAAAGTACTACCTAGCCCCAACAGAGCCAGGAATTTGGGGACATGTGGCTATACCTGCCTACCTTCCCAGGAGAACTTTGTGGGCTGGATCCCTCCATAGGATTTCCCAGTGTGAAGGACCAAAACTTCTCCAGAAAGAAGAGTCCTCATCTGTCACACCACAAGGCAGCAGAAAGAGGGGATACCCGTGGAGCTCCCTACCTCCCAACCACTTTTGAGCTAGGACTCTGGGAGAATTCTGTGGTCATATTTCCTCAAATCAGTAATGCCAAAAGGTAGTCTTTATAGTTGCTGGAGCCAAGCAATGTCAGCAGTCTGACATCAGGAGGGACTTATTTCTCGTGTGAATAGGTTGTGCAGAGGGAAGGGGGCACGGATTCTGTAGAGGGATACAGAGAGAGGCTCGACTGAGGAAGGATGGGGGAGCGCTTAGCAAGGAAGGATTCTACTGGGACTGAGAAAATGAAATTCTTAATACATGTTTGGTTTAAGACCAGATTTGGGTAAGCAAACTCCTTATTAGCAGAGGTTAGCTTGAACAGCTAAGAATGGTTTATGCAGAAAAAATTTCCAAACCTACAGAACTGACACCCACACACCCCCTCAGCCCTTCACTTGTAATCCCTGCCCTCAAACTTTGTGTTTTTCTGTCTTTTTTAGTTTATAAGCATTTTGGGGTAGGGACAGTATCTTCCTATAGATGAGAACAGTGCTGAGCTAGTGAACAACAATGGAATTAAGCCTCAAAGAGATGAACCCTGTCTCGTCTCAGAAACATCAGACTAATGCTACGTGACTCACCAATGACTCCTTCTGCCCAATAAGTAGTAACTACAACTGACATCTGACAGAAGCAAGGTTCAGCTCTCCTGTTCAGGAATGGAGAACACACAAGCAGAAACAGGAAAATATTCATATAGATTTTAAGAATAAGACGAGTGCAGGGACTTACCTGCCTCTAGCCACATGTCAAGGAGCAGATGAACTGCAAGCAGACAGTAATAATCTGAAAACTGCAATTCAGTTTTCAAACAAGATTTCCCTATAGAGAAAAAAAAAATGTTACCCTGCCAAAGTACAACTACAATCAAAGTAGTTACATGCAGGACATAGATTGATGTAAATTAGCTGCCTTCCTGTGCATCAGAGGAAATTTCTAAGGGATGTTGTCAAGTTATTTTTGAAATCCCAAATTCCCTTACAGTTGTGACTAATGCCAAATTATAAAAATGGAACAGATTGTCAATGTGTCACTTTTCCTCATTTATGCTTTTTGAAGTGCCCTCAAATTGGACAGTGGAATGGGTTCATTTCACTTTTGTTTCTAGTTGGTTTCACATCCAGGTTCTTTATAGTAGCTCAGCATTACAGAATGTGGATTACAGACCCACCAGAGGATTGTTTAAAGACAGCTTCTCAACCAGACACAAATACAATTACTACTTTCTTTTTGATAAAATAGAAAAATTTTACAAAAACTAACAAGCTTTTGGAAATGCAGCCCACAGGAGAGTCTAAGTATAATTTACTAGTTTCAGATAGTCTTACCAAACTCCAATCCATGCTGATATCTTAACATCAACTCCCGGACTACATTCAGCTTTTGTTTTTTGTCAATGATGTGATAGAGACCAAGCAATCTTGTTAGCTGTACCACACACAAGTGTTGTTGCAAAGCTTTGATGTCAGCTGGCAGTGCAAGTTTATCCTCTGCTGGTGCTGATAGAGGAATGACTCCCAGCAACTGGTTGATGAACTGGAAAGGAAACACAAGTGTTAAATTTTGCAATGTGCTTAGTTACCTAAAACAACTAGCAAGTCTTACTTCCATTGTCATGAACTGGAACAAAATGATATTATGGAGGTGTTGGTACCAACTCTATAAGTCAAGTGGCACTTAAATCTGAAATTAGAGGGCTCAACCCTCAAGATGGTATGAATTCTGATCCTGACCCTAAGAATGCAGAAGTACCAAAAAAAGTCAAAGGGACTATCCACAGACTTAACATTAACTATGTCTTCAAGTGCCCAAATGCTCTATTCCTTGCTAAGTAGGAAAAATTCTATTGTTATTTATTAAAAATATCTTATTTATCAGCACCAACCCATACAGCTTTTTCCAAAGAATTAATTTTCTTAGGCCTGGGTAAGTCAGAATGAAATCTGTTCAGCACTTTAGGAATTAAAAATGAATGATTTAAAAAATTTCCCTTGCTACGTTACCATTATTTTCCCTCTAGCACAGCGCTTCCCAAATGGTGCTCCGCGGAAACCCAGGGTTCCACAAAGTGAAAGTAAGGGTTCTGCGAGAACCCGATCATTCCCACCCCCCCTGAAAGAGATAGAGAACAGCTGGTGTGCAAAGATGCTGGCTCCTTCTCTGGTTTCCTGACGGCTTTCAGATACCGCCCCTCCACCACTGCCACTCTGTTTCCAAAGCCCACTCGGGACATGCGGTTGACATTGTTTGACCAATTCCCACCCCCCATCCCCCGGCTATAGGGATTCCTTGAAATTCTTCAGAGTTTAAAAGGGTCCCATGGCCTAATAAAATTGGGAAACACTGCTCTAGCTAAAAATGGATTTAACACAGCAATGATTAGAACTGCTTTGAACATTTTAGGTAACATGGGCTTAAAGTGTTGGCAGCAGCCTGTCTATAGTAAGGCTATTAAGCATAACCACTATTGGGAGAACTGAGCCAACATTAGCAACAAAGGGAATTTTTTTTTACAAAAGATCCCCAATATAGATAATGCATATACGTAGTTTACATAGCTTTTGTTAATGACCTTTAACTGATCCAGGACGTTTTGTCTCACTCTCATCCCTGAGTAATATTTCACAATGTCCTAGATCATAGGTTCCCAAACTAGGGAACGTGAAGAAATTCCAAGGGGGGGGCCATGAGGTGACCTCCCGTCATTCCCCCTGAACCCTTTCAAAGAGCCTGCGCTGGTGCTACTTCCTGTGAAAAATGGAAGTAGCACCTGTCATGGCGCCAGGGACTTCCTTTTCCCCTGCTTCCTGTCTGTGTGTGGGCGGGGCAGGGGGTAGTAGGAGTCCTGGGACTGTGTCAGCTCCAACTGCTCAGGCAGCACAGAACTGCCATGGGAAATAGAGGAGCAAGGCACGCGCTGCCTCAGCAGTTGGAGCTGGCACGGTCCTGGGACTCTTACTTTCCCCTCCTCCCCCTGCGTAGGCAGGCAGCAGGGGGTAGGAATTCCCCAGTGGCACAACAGACTTAGCTGTTCAGGAAATGCACCAGCTGTTTGGGGAGGAGGAAAGCAGCGCACACTCTTCTTGAGACCCAGACCTGGCACGCAGCTGTGGGACCCCCAGGTACCAGTCAAGCTGTCCCTGTCCCCTCCCCCCACCCAGACCCCTACGAGTACTGTCCCCTGCCCAGACCCCCACTATTTGTGCTTATTTTAAATTTTAAATACAAATTTTATACCAAGTTTATTGTGTTTATTTTTTATTTTAAATTATGAATTGAATTTTTTGATAAAAGGAAGGTTGGATGATGGTGAAGAAGAGGTGAGGAGGCATGAGGGTCTCTCAAAAATCAAAAAGGGGGTGTGATGCCGAAAAGTTTGGGAACCACTGGCCTAGAAGAGCAAGGAGATGAGTAGCAGGATTCCCGGCTGCTGAAGTCATCTACCAAGCTGCTCCTGACTCTGCTGAAATCCTCTCTCTCAATTTAAGTTTAAACAAGGTAGGTGTCAGAAAGATACTCAGAGAACTACAAATAATGTCTCAGTCACCTCTTTTAATTGATGCTGATGTTACCATTTGTCACTTGGAACTGATGCAGTGTTATTGCCTGGTGCCCTATCTATGCCTGATGCATGGCAGAGTTTAAGAGAAAGGCATTTAACCAGAGAGTGTTTACAATTGGACACAGAGAATGTATATAGGAGAGAAGGAAAAGATAATGTTTATCAAAATAGTAACACAAAGTCCTATTACCTAACAAACCAATCATTCATTCTGATACTTTAGATAAAAATTAACATTCATTTTATGGAGGTTTATCTTCCCTTAATGCTCATGTGTAATTCACATTGCTTCAATGGTAGTTATACATGTTTATATGAGGAGAATAAACCTCTTTAGAGGACAGATATTTTGGGCGGTACTGCAGGAGTGGGGATCCTAAGACCTGGATCCAGCCCCTGAATCTTGGGGCTTCCCCAGCATTGGGGAGCCTGTGCTGGCACTGCAGTTCCTCCCCACCATCCACTTGCAGGGTTGGAGCACACAAAATCTAATAGCATGGGCACCCCCAGAGCTCTAGTGTGCAAGGGGAGTGTCTTTCTGCTTCTCTGTCAGGGGCCACGTCAGTGAGGGTTTTTGTTTTTTGCTTCTCACTTGTGTGGCCCCCAGCTGATTTTTCTGTGGGTCAGCATTCCCTGACCCCAAAAAGATACCCACCCCTGCTGTACACACCCCTGCTGTACTGTGTATCTCAGACTGAGACAATCTAAACAAGAGTGATGAGAGGTTATACCACTAAAATCAATCCTGAAGGAGCTTTCCAGTAATAAATACAGCAGGACTGAATCTACCCAAAGCCACCTTAAGGTGATAGGACAACACAGAACTGAAAAATAAAAGAAGGATAAGTCCTACAAACAGTTACTGAATTATTCCAATAGAACCACTTGTGGCAGTGAATGCTCTAATGCCTGAGAGTCACTTTTCAGGAATAAACCCTGTATGTAAAATCCCATTTAATTGGTTAATCAGTTAAATGTGATGTTTAACCTGTTAACCGATTAAAGGGGAGGTGTGTGGGAGGGTTACTGGAGCAGCCCCACCACCACCTTGGCTGGGGCAGTCTCTGCCTGGGGCTGGGTCCCCCCTGTGCCTCTCTGCAGAGCTGGAGCAACCCTCTGCTCATGGCAGGGGCAAGCTGCTCCAGCCCCCAGAGGTTAATTGGAATTGGTAAGCATTACCCATTAAAGGTGATGCTTACTGGTTAACCTTTTGCATCCCTAGTGTGTATGTTGTGAAAATCCTCCCTGAAATAATTCAGAACTTTGGCACTATTGATTTTCAAGAAACCTATTTTTTCCCCAGTTAGAGAAGAATTTTGAATAAAAATTAACAATTCTACGTTTTCAGCAATTTGTTTTTCTTAAAAACTGACTTACTCTCTCCCAGAACGGAGGTTTCCCTTTGATAGCACCACAGTCAAAAGCTGTGTTTGGCAAACAGCTGGTGCTCTCAGAAGTCTCCAGCACTTCTCTTTTACTTCACCCAATGCTGATGTTCTTACCTTTTTACACTGGGTGGGTGGGAGAAGATCCACAAACACTTTGAGATCAGTGAAACAGCAGGGTTTGTCTCCAAACTTTTTGAAGTACTGGAACATTAGTTCTTCTGGGTCACCTAGCAAAGAAACTCATCATAAAGTAGCCAGTTTTCAATTCTTTTAAAGCTCAATTAGAAACAAAGTCAATAATAGAACAAGGCTTGTAGGGATTAGATTTTTATTGGTGAATATTGATAAGCATCTGTTTCACCACACATACAAACTGAAGAAAAAATATTTCCACTGATAACAAAAATTTGCAGTTGACGAAGTAAGAAAAAATGTTTGAGAACATTTTAGACTATCATTAAATAATTACTGTTTGACACAAACACCCACAATATCCAGCACTAAAATAAGCATTTTCTGTCAAAATTATTAAATACAAAATATATTTAGGCAAGGATAGCTCTAGATCTATGAGAAATGTTCAGTCCCGAAAGTGTAAACTTTCTTATGCTCAAAATGATCAGTGATTAATAAATCATAATAATTCCACTTTGGATCTTACAATCAATTAAAAAAAAAATCTAACCCAACTGATAGAGTGAGATTAAAAAAAAAAAATCAGAAGAATATTGTAAGCTACTAATGCACAATTTAGCTAATAAAATTTACTTTCTTGCAGGCAAAATAAGTTAATTTAAATAGGGCCTGCAGAAATCTTGCTAATGTTAAACTGCATTCTCTTTTTCCACTCACAAAAAATGTTTTTTTAAAACCACTAGGGGGCTGCTTGCCATGCCCGCCAACCACCCTCTGTCTGCTGCAGCTAGAACGTGACCTCTCCTGCTACCCAGGCCGCAGCAGGCAGGGGGCCACCACCAGGCCTTTCTGTGGCCAGATGGAGGCTGGACAGTGGGACCTGTCCCAGGATTGGGACCAGGGACAAGATGCTGAGAGCAGATGGGGGCTGGGCCCCCATTGGAGCCTTGCTGACCAAGCTTCATTTTAAATGAAGTAAAATATGTCCAACAGAAAAAGGTTTCAACATTGTCTTCATTAATGAGAATGGTGGGGAACCTTTTTTGGGTTGGGGACTACTGACCCACATAAAAAAATTGGTTGGGGACCACAGAAGTGAGAAGAGGAAAAAAAGCCCCTTTAAAGACCCCCAGCCCTCACTGATGTGGCCCCCAACTGAAACACTTCACACTCCTGGTGCTCCAGCCCCATGAGGGGAGGAGAGGTAGGACTGAGGTTCAAGGTGTCAGGCCAGATTAACTCTTCTGGGGCTCTAGGGTTAGTAGATTTTGAGAGCCCCCCTGGCTCTGGGTTGGGCCAAAAATGTGGGGTGCAGTGTGTGGGATAGGGCTGCAATAGTGTAACAGGGATGGAGATGGGAAGGCGGTGAGGTTCAGGAGGGGCTGAGGGTGCGAAGTCTGGATGGGAGGGTAGGACGCAGGAGCAGGTGTGGGGGTAGGAGTGGGTTGGGTACATGGTATCTGGCCAGAGAGAAGGGGGCAGGAATGGGCTGGGAGGAGGTTGTCTGGCTGGAGGTGGTGAAAGGGTTGGGGGGCACTTACTGGTCTTTTGGAGATGGGAAGGCGGTGAGGTTCAGGAGGGGCTGAGGGTGCGAAGTCTGGATGGGAGGGTAGGACGCAGGAGCAGGTGTGGGGGTAGGAGTGGGTTGGGTACATGGTATCTGGCCAGAGAGAAGGGGGCAGGAATGGGCTGGGAGGAGGTTGTCTGGCTGGAGGTGGTGAAAGGGTTGGGGGGCACTTACTGGTCTTTGGGAGTGCTCCAACTACGCGGGAAAGGAGGGAGAATGAAGGGCTGCAGCGCTAGGCAAATAGGGCCAGAGCTACTCAGGTCAGTGCTGCCTGGCGCTGCCTTGCAGAAGTGCCACTTGCTGCTGCAGCCCCTGTGTGGCTGGGTGAGAGGGAGCCAGTCTGAGCTTGGGTCTCACTGGGGGCGGCTTGGCGATGAGCTCAGAACACGGTCACTCAAGGCATGGCAGAAAATGAGGCAGCAGAAAGGTGGTGGGGGAGGGAGTGTAGGTGTCTTCCCCTGTAGCTAGTGCTTCTCCTGAGACCTGAGCCTCGCAACAGCTGAAGCAGCTCCTGGGCTGGGGGCTGCCCGAAAGGCTGCAGGCAGGACCTTTGGGAGGCGGAATCTGCCCAGGCTTGGCTGCTAAGTGGCTTTGCAGGTCCCCAAACAGTGTCAGGGCAGAGAGCCTATGGTACGCAGAGTGACATGATGATGTCATTCATACATCCCACAGGAAAACTTTAAATATATAAATGAGAGAGAGGAGAGAGAGAGATGAAACCACCAAATAAGTGCATTTAAGAAATATTACTGTTCCCATTAACACGGCTGCCGAAGAGCCCAAAGTAGTATCAGCTAGTGAAAAAAATCACTAGATTTGTGTTCCTAAACCCATTAGGAACTTCTGAAATCTCCCCAAAAATCTTTGTTTTAAAAGCTCTAAAACATTCTAGAATTGTTATAAGAATAATACTTGGTGTTCTCTTTACCTTTCATCAAGATTTATGCACGCAATCCCTGCATACAATTTACATCAGGCACTACTAAATTGATGATCGTAGCATAAGCTTGCTCTAGGCTAGTGTTCACTCCCTTAAGGTTTAATTTATCATCTAATTAGTGGCTCTTACCTAGTTTATATTCATCATTACAACCTCTGTGCCGCAAACGTCTAATCAACTCCAACTTGGCTAAGTAGGGTCCCCGAAGTGGCCGAGAGTTCTTAGCTTCTTCTGTTATCCTCTCCTCTACAAATTTCACAGCTTGCTCTGTAGAATAATGCACTTCTCCCTCCAAAGAGCTGGGTAGTTAAAGAAAGGAGTATTGATTTCAAGTTTTATTGCATCATTCCCATTTCTGAAGTTCTGTTATTAAGTGGTAAGCATGCCTTAGCAGCACTCCTTCAAGGCTACCAGGTTCAACAGACTCTCTGACTAAGACCCATTAAGGAAGCAGGTTATGGAAGCACTAATAAAGTCAAAGCTAGCATTATACACCTGCTTCCAAAGGGGGTCAGTGCCATCTTGCAACAAGGACCAGCTTCCATAGCTAAGAAGCTGGGTCACAGTATCTGCCAACAACCATGACGACACTTGAAATAGGAGCT